CTTTTTTTTTTTTTTTTTTTTTTTTTTACAACAGACCTCCCAACTTCTCCCTTTCCTCTATAAAAGAGCGTTCCTCTCCTTCAATCTCTGGACTTGCCTATGCTTTTGCTCTGAAGCTACTTTGTCCCGAATTGCGATTCTCTGCTTTTTCTGAATGAACCCATTTTTTTACTGGTAAAATAACTAGCAGGGTTTTTTAAAGTTTATTTCTTTATTTTGAAGAGGTGGGGGAGCGCGAACACGAGGAGGGGAGGGGCAGAGAGAGGAGAGAGAAAGTCCCAAGCAGGCTCCACACTGTCAGTGCAGAGCCTGAGCAGCGCAGGGGCTCCAATTAGGAATAGTGAGATCATGACCTGAGCTGAAATCAAAAGTCGGCCGCCTCACCAACTGAGCCACCCAGGCCCCGATCTTCAAGGTTGATAGAAACAGCCCAGAGTTCCATCAACAGTGGAATGGATAAATATATGTGGTGTCCTTAGCAGTGAAATTGAACAATCTAAAACAACACGAACTAACACAGAACTGAAACCTTCAAGTTCAGGGTAGGGAGCCAGACAACCAAGAGGGCACACGGGATGATACTATTGACATGAAGGTCAAGAACAGACAAAGCTACTTGGTGGGGATGCAAGTCAAGATGGTCGTTATTTGGAGGATGTGACTGGGAAGAAGCACAAAGGGGCTGTTGGGGTGTTTGTAATGTACTGTTCTTTGTCCCTGTTGTTGTTATCTGTCTCTTCTTTTTCTGCTGAAGTATAATTAACATCTAGTGTTATATTAGTTTCAGGTGTACAATATAATGAAGATTCAACAGTGTCCTGGTCCTCAACCGGGTCATGGTTTCATAGATTTGGTTCCTTTGTGAAAATTCGTCGCGCTCTTACGCAGATCACTTGTGCACTTTTCTCCGTGTATGTCTTACTTCGGCAAAGGGTTGACCTAAAACACTATGTTGGAGTTTGCAGAGGTCAACACAGCCACAAAAACTTTGTTGCTTCACAAAGAGTATTTTATATGATGCCCCAAAACTTTGGAAACCAAGATGCCGTTTTCTCACTCTGAACCAATAAACACACAAACTGATAGAAAAGTCATGGGGTTCACAGATGACTTATTTGTAGACAGTCTACACCACATGTCCTAACATCTTCCATCCAAAGGCAGGCCAGCCTTCCATTCAGCAGAGAGGCCCTGCTCACCTGTCAGACCATCCGCTTCTCTAAGCCCAGGGAGTTTGGTCATGCCCCACTCTGGTCCTCCCGCCCTCACACTGGTCCTCCCAGCTGCTCACCTGACGCCATGACTGACATCAGGGCAGGCCGCCATGTCAGTGTGGACCTCACCAGTGACCCATTCTTTTCATTCCATGCTGACATAGAGAATTGGAGACGGACTTCTTTGGGAATTTCCGGTCTAAAACCATCTAGAGAGCTCTTGCTGAGTTACTGCAGATACCTTTGCTGAAACACTTGGCTAAAATCATCCTGGCATTTTTTTATGAGGAAGCGGGTTTTAATTTGGAAGATGCATCTGCTGAACGATAGGGCCATTAAACACCAAAGAGCTGGTTTATTTCCTTTTGAGATGTTTTAAGCTTTCTAGTCCCTCATTCCCTTCAACCAGTAGGATGAGAGGTATTGGTATAACCAGCTGGACATTTTTTTTCAGTTTATTTACTTATTTTGCGAAAGAGAGCGTAAGCAGGGGAGGGGCAGGGAGACAGGGAGAGAGAGAGAGAGAGAAAGAATCTCAAGCAGGCCTCGTGCTGTTAGTGTGGAGCTGAACTTCGTTGGGGCTCAATCTCATAAACCGTGAGATCATACCTGAGCGGAAATCAAGAGTCAGACTCTTTTTTTTTTTTTTTTTAACGTTTATTTATTTTTGAGACAGAGAGAGAGAGAGCATGAACAGGGGAGGGTCAGAGAAAGAGGGAGACACAGAATCCGAAACAGGCTCCAGGCTCCGAGCTGTCAGCACAGAGCCCGACGTGGGGCTTGAACCCACGGACCGCGAGATTATGACCTGAGCTGAAGTCGGATGCTTAACCGACTGAGCCACCCAGGCGCCCCAAGAGTCAGACTCTTAACTGACTGAGCCACCCAGGCACCCATCAGTTGGACACTGTTTACAAACCATTTGTGTGCAACCTGTCATCTTCTCTCCCTCCGTAGGTAGCTAAAGTTATGTTAGAGCAAGGGGACCCTCGAGAACACCCAGCATAGCCCCCTGGTGTGCCAAAGACAGGGCCAAGTCTGGGGGAGGGAAAGGGATTTGCAAGTTGAGCTGTAAGAACACAGGTCTCCTGGGACACCTGGCAGTGACCCCACACTCGGGGATCTGAGAACAAAGCAAGGGGTTGTTGAGCCAAAATTAGCTGTCACCTCCTTCCCTTGATTCGTTTTCTTTGCTTCCTACCATCAAAGTCAGGTTCCAAATGCGTCCATGGGAGGGGCCAGGAACCGTCTCTGTCCCCTGCTACAAGCAAAAGGCCCTCAGGCGTCCTCATCTGGGATGAGCTGGAGGAGAGAGGCAGCCGTGTGGAAGGGCCAGCCCCGAAAAACACGAGTGCTTGAGGGGGCTTGCAGAGGGGTGTAGCAAAGAGTAAAATTCTCGGCCTCTGGAAATGCACATCATGGGTTCAAATCCCACCTCCCCCACTTACCGTCTCCAGGCCTCAGTTTCTCTAGCTGGGAAGCAGGAATGACGGTAGAAGCCCCTCGGTCAGATTGCCGAGGACAACGAACAGTGTTCGAGCTACTGGAACAGTGCCCGAATGTCGAGGCACCGCAGGTGGTGAGGGCGGACGCGCTCCCAAAAGGGCAAGGGACCACGCTTCGGGTGTCTTCAGTGGATACAAAAGGCTGAGACGGCTCTTGGTCATGGAGGTAGAGCCTGTCTGTTGCCCAAGCGAACCACTTCCTGGCTTTGGTGAAACCCTCAGCTCTTAGTATGACCAACCAGTTGGGCTAATGACCACATGCCATGACGCCAGAGGCAGAGAGACAACAAAGGGAGAATCTGATCAGTGGAGCCTGGACGGGGCGCGGAGAGGTACCAAAGGCAAACCAAAGTCACTTGACCGGTGGGCCCCCCCTGTGGAAGGGATAAAGGCAACCTGCCGTACCCTGAGAGCTGGGAATATCTTCCCCTTGGAAAACATTCCCTCCTGGGCTCTGTCTGTTCATGGCTGACATGTGCACTCTTAGATAGCCATTCCTTTGGCTTAATATATGGTCCTCTGTCCAAAAGACAGAGTCCTGGGGCACCTGGGTGGCTCGGTCAGTTAAGCATCTGACTTCGGCTCAGGTCACAATGTCCTGGTTCGTGAGTTTGAGCCCTGCATCGGGCATCGGGCTCTGCACTGACAGTGTGGAGCCTGCCTGGAATTGTCTCTTCCTCTCTCTCTGCCCCCTCCCCAACTCGAGCGTGCTCTGGCACATGCATGTGCTGTTCCTCTCTCTCTCTCTCTCTCTCTCTCTCTCTCTCAAAAAAAAAGACAAAGTGGGGCGCCTGGGTGGCGCAGTCGGTTAAGCGTCCGACTTCAGCCAGGTCACGATCTCGCGGTCCGGGAGTTCGAGCCCCGCGTCAGGCTCTGGGCTGATGGCTCAGAACCTGGAGCCTGTTTCCGATTCTGTGTCTCCCTCTCTCTCTGCCCCTCCCCCGTTCATGCTCTGTCTCTCTCTGTCCCAAAAATAAATAAACGTTGAAAAAAAAAAAAAAGACAAAGAGAGAGAGAGACGGAGAGACAGACCCCTTACTGGCAAAGTGGGTGGCCCCAATTTAAGATGTGCTGTGCTCACGTGGTTCTGCACGGTTTTGTTTTTGTTTTTGTTTTGGAGAGAGACAGAGTGTGAGTGGGGGGAGGGGCAGAGAGGGAGAGAGGGAGAATCCGAGCAGGATCCTCGAGGTCAGTACGCAGAGCCAGATGCGAGACTCCAACTCACAAAACCATGAGTCCACGACCTGAGCCAAAATCAAGAGTCAGACGCTTCACTGACAGAGCCACCCAGGCGCCCCTGGTTCCTCACGTTTTATACAAAGCCTCCTTTTCTGTGTCTCCCCGTGAGTGTGACAAGAGTCTGCTCACCCAAGAGCTCTGGGACAGCATGTGCAGCTTCCAGACTGCCCATGTTAAATATGGTTAGCTGACTACCACGACCTGTGCTCTCTGTGAGGGGGCTCCCACCTCAGAGCCTCATTCTGGCTTCTCTCTTAGCCTGGAGTGTTCAGCCAGGTGCCATGGTCCTCCGACCCCTCGGGTCTCTGGGGTCACTCCTCAGACAGGCCTCTTGCCCCACACAATCCCGTCGCCTTGCACTCTGATTTTCATCAGTGCTTCTGCAGGTTCCTTCTCTGTGATCTGTCCCCCTCACTAGCATGCCGGTTCTTTCTTTGTCTTGATGTCACAGCATTCTAGCCCCTGAAGCAGTACTTGATATGGGCAGGTGTTGAGTAGGTAACTGATGAATGAATGAATAAGTGGATGAATGAATGAGTGGATGAATGAAT